CCAGATGTCTGGAGACTGCTGTTGTTTCTAAGTATAGTCCAGTCACCTCTTGTGTGGCTTCACAGAAGGCACCCGATTAGCCTGGCGCAAGTTACAGGCGTTTTGTAAAAACAGTTTTCACACTGAGGAAGAGTTAAATTGGACGTTAAAAAATAAAATCTTACCTACCCAGTTAAAGTCTTGTCAAGATTGTCAAGTTAGTGAACTGTTGTGTATGACAATATGTATAATTTTGCTTGGTTTTGAGAGAAAGCGTATAAATCGTTCTAATGTAACACATGCCCGTGTTGAAAGGTAGGCTATTTTATATGCAGCACAGTTGAACAGAAATTTGCGGTTGCCCAATTTCAGATTTTGAAGGGAAGAAGCAGGGAGGGGTGGAGACTTAGTTCAAAACAGGAACTGGAATGTGGTCTAGTACCTGCGATTCTCACACGTTACAGATTAATTTCAGAGCTGCTTCTCCGGCATGACAAGGAATGAGGCAGGGTTGCTTGGGGGTTAAGTACGCAGAGTTCAAACAGACGTGTGCATCGAGTGCCATGCACGTACCGTAGGTCACTCCTTCAGTAGATGGACATGTCTTCATTTCCGGGAGCTCACTTGGGAAAAAGAAATGTAGAACCAGACATTGTTGGCTTCAGTACATTTATAAATCATTCAGTTGCTTCAGTTTATTTAATTAAACTGAGAGCACTGAAAATTATTTTAGTCAACAGATGTTATTTATGGTTTGAGTTTCTCTCGTTTTGGAGAAAAATTATTGTTTCCTAAAATTCCTATTAAAAGCCCCCCTAACCAGTTTGTTTAACAAAGGTTATTATTTACTGTGTGTTTATAGAGCAGGCGCTGCACCTGCCCGTTTCCACCCCCCTCAGCCCTGTCTGACTGTTGCTGGTTCTTGTCCCTTTTCTGGTGGAGACTGAACCTTGGAAAAGTTAGGTGGCTTCATGGAAGCCATTGTCCTAAACTGGGATGTGCTCTAGCTCCATCTATTTCTCATTTCACTCTCCTGCCCCTTGCCCTGCCCCCAACCTTCAACCCACCCCCCAGCCCCAACCCAGTTCTTGAAGGACAAATGGCAGACAGCAGGAGCCCATGCTGGTGTGCAGAGCTGAGTTCACCCCAGGGAATAAGAAGGCAGTGCACCCTCACGAACCTCGGTCCCTGCCTGATGGGCCAAGAGAATCCTCCTCCAACTCTGCGTATTTCCATTGGTTTTGTCACTGACACCCACCACGCTGCCCTGCAGACGACACTGAAGTCCTTTGTCAGGCCACTGGAGGTCATGTTAATGGAAACAATAGCAAATACACATAGGTAAAATCTGGCTCAGCCTTTTTTCTCCCCACCATAAGAGACCTAGGTCTTGGAGAAAGAGAAATTGAGAGTGCCGCAGAGAGCTGGGGGACAGTCTGGGGGACAGGCGGTGGCTGGGGAATGGGTGGTATGTTCAGATACTTCCATTTCTTTATTTTGGTCCTTCTGTGGCCCGTTTGCTGAATGATCTTTTTCTTCCCCTTTCTGTTATGAACACCAGCAAGCAATGCTGGACGCTGTGTAATGCAACAATTTTGATGGGCAAACACATTACTTTGCAAAAGAAGGATGTCCGGTTCCCGTCAGCTACAAATGTGGTTCACTTTGCTGCCCCTTAAAGGTCTTCATAAATATACTAGATAGCAATGAGCCTCATAAATATACTAGATAGAAATGAGGCCGAAATGAACCCAAAGGCTATTTCTCTAAACTTTTCCCAGTCTCGACATCTGGTTAATTGCCATTTAGCAAGTGACAATGAAAGCACAGACAGCAATAATGAATCAGCATCATGTAATTGCGGATATATCTTTCAGAGGTAAACTAAGGTCATGAAATTTATTAAGCCAATATGCAGGAGAGAAAACATTATCAATATAATCATTATAAATACTATAAATGAGTATTTAAATTCATATATTTAAGCAATGATTACTTAAAACTTTATTAATTTACTACTGCTCTGCTGAGCAAGTTGAACTTCGTGATTTCACATATGTGATCTCTTTGGAAGGTTATTATAATTTCCTTATTTAAGTACTTACAATAAAATTGATACATGTTCTTAAGTTCTCCAGAGTTTCACTCTGCAATCAAGTTTACTTTAATGATAAAACAAACAGATGTGTATGATTTTTATTTTTTAAAGTTTACTGATTTATTTTGAGAGAGAGAGAAACAGAGCTTATGAGCAGGGGAGGGACAGAGAAAAGGGGGAGAGAGGATCCCAAGCAGGCTCCTCACTGTCAGCTTGGAGCCAGATGCAGGGCTCGATCTCAGGAACTGTGAGAACATGACCTGAGCTGAAATCAAAAGTCAGATGCTTAACTGACTGAGCCACCCAGGCGTGCTGATGTGTATGATTTTTAAAGCATAATGTTTTATCTCAGAAGGTGAAACTCAAAATATAGCTGTTCCCCCAAATATTATTTATGATGGAAAATTTTGCATTTTATTTAGTGAGAACATAATGTTCCAATTTCTTAGAAAAGATTGCTTTGTCACAAAATATTATCCTGTCAACAAATATTTATTGCTGTGCATTCCAATTCTATTTTTAATATATAATAGGAGTGTCGCATGTGGGAAAGCAAGAATACCCCAAAGCTAATAACACTAACTCTTCTTTCCATTGACAGCTCAAAGAATTGGATGTCTGGCTTGCTAATCCTTTTGAATAAGCAAGAAATAATGCTGGCTGGGAAGGGAAAACAGAGCAGTGTCATAACTAACTCTAGTTAGATTATGTGGCTCTCCTTAAGTGATATTGTTTCTTTTGGTTCTCATTGGTCAGCTTTAAAATAGAACTCATGAGGCGCCTGGCTGGCTCATTCCGTTAAGCGTCCGTCCCTAGGTTTCAGCTCAGGTCATGATCTCAGCGTTCGTGAGATCAAGCCTTGTGTCGGGCTCTGAGCTGACAGCTTGGAGCCTGCTTGGGATTCTCGCTCTCCATCTCTCTCTGCCCCTTCCCTGCTTGCACTCTCTCTCTCTGTCTCAAAACTAAATTAAAACACAAAAATTTTAAAAATAGAACTAACACTTGTCTATGCCTCCGCGAGTGTGAGAAGGAAGGGGGTAATGCACGCAGTGCTTGCATCGGGGTCCCACGCATAGTCACCACTACTGGGCATCAGCTACCAGGGCCGTTACTGGTAAATCAGCGGTAATGGGAAGAAGAGGCTGCCCCCTCTCCCTCAGGATTTGTATCTTCAATAACATCCCATAATGTCACTGGATATAAAAAAGACTGATGGTTGGCAGTTGACTTCCGCCCTCTCTACCAGGTTCACTCGGTCATTTCAATAATCCTGTGGAATGTGACCCACATTTTATTCAGTGAAATCATTTGGACCTCGCTTACGGGGTTCTGGCAGAGTTCTTCCGTGAGAACATAACTGCAGAAGCATAGGTACGTGTGAGGCTTTTTCAGAGGTGTGAAAACACAGAAGCCACGCAGTGGTTCTAAAGTACGAGCCCTTACTACTTCTCCACTGACTTCCCGACCTATTCGGACAGCTTCAGACGTGCTTTTCATAAAATGTATGTTTATACCAGCTAAGTGACTTTATTTAAACTGCACTAGGACTGATCGGCAGGATTTTTAAACATTGATTTTGTTTACTGCGTCCTGTGGATCCAAAATAGGAGGAAGAGGGAGGGATATTAGCAAATATGACCCCATTACATGGGGAAGATTCTCCCTCTAGCCAGCATTGCGTCAGTTTATCAGCCAACGACACCCTTTAAAGGAATGTTTTTCTGACTGGCACAGTCTGCATGTGTAATCACTTAAAACCCTCCGCCGTGATCTCCCTTGTATATTAAATAGAGTCAACAGTGCTGATCCTGTTTCAATTACAAGGAAATCACTGGGCACCGACCCAGGATCATAGAAACCACATGGGAGCACCCAAGGGTGGGAGAAACGGTGGCTGGCTGCCAGGTGGCTCTGGGGGAGGGAAGGAAATGGGGGTTTCCACACGGAAGGGAACTGATTTTCTACTGGGGGGGGCACAGGAGGCACGTAAGAAGGGGAACTTGGGGGACGTGGTGGGTCAGTGCCTTTTTCATCAGGACGTGGGGTTGGAGGGGTTCAGTGCCATCATCTGCCGACCACTGGTACAGGGAGATTCAGCGACCCCGGACTGAGCCCTTGGCATTATCCGAACCATTTCAAACATCCACGAGAGTCTGCACCTCCCAACCCGCGACACCGCTTTCTAGGGCCCACTTGGCTTGTTCCATGGTGCAGGACGTGGGGGTCAGCTACTCCTTCTCCTTGGCAACCTGGTATAGCCCCTTTATACCTCAGGGCAAACTTTAAGGAGAGGTCAGTCTGGGGGAGGAGAGAGAAGGGGGAAGGCAGGGTGGGCATGGAATGGAGAGAGGGGGGTGTTCCAGCTGCCGTCCTCCTTAAAAGTACCCAAGAGTTTTCTGGGGTGAGGCGCCTGGGGGGCTCAGTCGGTTAAGCGTCTGACTTCAGCTCAGGTCATGATCTCACAGTTGGTGAGTTCGAGCCCTGCGTCAGGCTCCGTGCTGACAGCTCAGAGCCTGGAGCCTGCTTCAGATTCTGTGTCTCCCTCTCTCTCTGCCCCTCCCCTGCTCACACTCTGTTTCTGTCTCTCAAAAATAAATGAAGATTAAAAAGTTTTTTTGGGTTCTAGCTGAGAAACCATGAAACTTTTGCGGCATATCTAAAGGACCTTGATCTTCCCCTTCTTTAGAAGATAGTTCAAAAGGTGCAGTAGTTCTGGGATAGGTCAGTTCCAGAGCACGCATTATAGCCCTCTGCATTCGGAAACTGCGAGGCTGGATCCTTTAGACAGGAATCTGACTTCCTGGTATACGGTCCGGTGTCCCGGTCACCTTGTTGAACACGGACTCTGAAGAGTGTATATTTCACAGGACCTGACTGTGTGTGTCAGGGTGCACTCACAGATCTCGTCTTTTTTTGCCAATAGGCTCCTGGGCAGATCGGTCACCACTGCACGAAGCAGCAAGTCAGGGTCGTCTTCTTGCTCTGCGAACACTGCTATCACAGGTACAGTTATGGCTGAAAATACACCCCTGTCCCATGAGCATGGGGCATTAATTTTCAAAAGTAATTAAAAAATAATAAAGCTGCCTGATAACTGTTACCAGTCTTTGGGTTTTAACCCCTATATCAGCTCCCTACTTTGCATTTAGCTTTGAAATTTCTTTATAAATATGTTGGTATAATCTTATGTCTTAATGTATCACGTTTCCCATACGGTAAACTTTGTCACTGATAAACATATTTCAGCAAGAGGTAATTGGACGTGTGTATTATTCATTAAGCACTCCAACTACGCTTAACTCTACACAGTGTGTGCAGCAGTTAGCTGCAGAGAAAGTTTGGTCATAAAAAATCCAAAATGGGATCATCGGAGCAGATGCCCAAACAAGCTTTTTTACATTAACCTGTCCTGTGTGATGGCGAATTACCCACGAACACTACACGACAATCATTTCTCCCCCTGCCCGCTCCTCAGACTCCGCAGAGGCAAAACGAAAAGCGCAGATTCCTTACGGACACAGAAGGCGCCCTGGCTTAGCCTGGGCGGTTTTAAACGTGAACAGTCTGAGTCAGACGCTCACCCGGTTCTGGAAGGCGTCGTCCTGGGGCTTCCCGGGATCAGGGAGGAGGCTGTGGGAGAAGGATGAGCAGCGATGCCGGGTTACGGGTGATGCCAGGGCACGGCCTGGGACTCGGGGCGCCTGCATTCCAGGTGGGCTCCTGACGAGAATCACAGCCTTCCTGGCCTGCCTTTTGTCATGTGAGCATGTAGGATGAGATGCCCCCGCAGGGCCGTCCTGTTCTGTGACAACCATGTGGCCATTTTGTTCGCACACCATGTGATGGAAAAAATCAAAAAACAAAAACACCTACAGAATAGTCAGTGATTTCTAAAGGTAACCCCCGCCTCCCCCAGCCACCTACGGGAACCACCACACAGTTCTTCGAGAGGAGCGCGGTCTCACGATGTTTTCCGACATGCATCTCGTCCACCGACGCGCCAGCCAGGAGTCGTCAGAGGCTGCCCCCAAAGCCTGATGTGCACGGGAATCCAGAGCTTCACCGACGCTTGGCCACCTGGTCACCCCGGCCCGTGGCAGCGAGGAATCAGCTCTTTCAAGGCTGACTGTTGGCTAGACACTTCGAAATCTTTGAAAAGATAACTTACGGGATCTCAAAAGTTGCCCCTTGCTAGTGACAAAGATTGGAGGTGAATCTTTCCTTGCCTTCGTTTTAAGATCCCTCCTGTCCATCCTGGTTCTACGGACCATGGTGGTCTCTTAATAGGTTATGGGGATTTGGCCATGAAAACCTTCCTATTACAGTGGTTAGTATAATTGTCAGTAGACACCTGAGTTACCAAAAATAGCAAGAAAGCAAAGAATCTCGTGTTCTGATACTATTTAATGAGTTTAGTCTGATATCATTAGTTCAACTGGAATAAACTCTTTTATTGGTTTCAATTTGAGTTTTAAAGTGTTTACTTGGTTTTGATTGGATAATAAAATAAAATGGAACACTTCCTCTATGCAGAGCACTGTAACAGGTGCTTTATGTACATCATGCTGACAGTGACCCTAAAATTTAGAGGTTAGTATACTCGTCCAAATTAAAATAATTACTGCATTCTAGATCAAGGCTTCATGCCCAAGCTCTGACTTGATCGTCAGAGCTCTCAACCACAAGAATAGAACCCAGTCACTCCAACCTAGTGACAGAAGTTCACACCGCGGCTCACTGCCGTTTAGAGTATTTTCCCCCAGTCGGGGCTAACCTGTAACTTCACAGCCCCAAATCAAAACAAGTGGGCCAGCCTATAAACAGTCTCCAGTTCTACAAGAAAAAAAACAAAACAGCAGCAATCAAAACAGTTCATAAAGGCCACAGAAGGTTAAGGAAGCAGAGTTTCATGAAAACATTCAGCATCTACTAAGCAAAACAATTCAGGCCTGTGGGGTTTAGGTACGGTGGTGGTGGTACAATAATGAGGTGTTTCTGACAGCTGATTGATTCCCTCTGTGGCATCTGACCTGGACTTTCCTGCTTAAACCTGACTCCCTGGGTGTCCTTGATCTTTTGTATCACTCCCTGATGCCCTTTATAAAGATGATTTCATACAATGTTTTGCTCACCTTTCAAAATTATTCATGTCGTATTTAGGGCTATAACGTAGATGCAGTCACGATAGACCACATCACCCCACTGCACGAAGCCTGCCTCGGAGACCATGTGGCGTGCGCCAGGACCCTACTGGAGGCTGGAGCTAATGTGGGTACCCGCTAAACCATTAATCGCTTCACATCTGCTGACTAAGATAATTGAACGAAGCTCTCATTTTGTTTTTCTTTCCGTAGTAGTTATCAAAAATAGCAGAGTAAAAAGAAATCACATTGCTTCAGTCTTCTCAGTGCACTCCAAGAAGGATTTCCAGTCATTGCAAAAATGCGTAGCATGTTATATTAATGTAGGGTGTTCTCTAAGTTATTTTCTATTCTCATGATTCTGAACTACCGTGGATGGACCTCTTTATGCCTGTTTACCCGTCTTTGGATGATTTTCTTAAAATATTTTTAATGTTTGTTTATTTTTGAGAAAGAGAGAGACTGATACAGAGAGAGAATGAGCAGGGGAGAGGCAGAGAGAGAGGTAGACACCAAATCTGAAGCAGGCTCCAGGCTCTGAGCTCTCAGCACAGAGCACACCACAGGGCTCAAACTCACAAACTGCAGGATCATGACCTGAGCCGAAGTCAGATGCTTAACTGAGCCCCGCAGGTGCCCCAGGATGATTTTCATTAGATAAATTCTCAGAAATAGAATTTCCCATTTCTCTGATTTACCACCAGTAAGGTGACCTCATCACAACGTTTGTCACCATCACATTTGTGGACTTTTCTCCTAGTTGAAAGGCACCTGACCATCGAATTCATTTTTGTTTACTTGACTCTTGAGTATCTATGGATTTTCATGACTTTTATTAGCTGTATGGCCACTCTTGTGATTTATCTACCACATCATATTTCTGTTTATCTCTTGACTTTTAAAAGCTTTGCTTATTGATGTGTGTGACCTCAATCTTCTTTGTCACATTTACTGCGCACATTATCCCAGTGATTTGTTAGATTGTATACATTTCTTAAATGCCTCGCATTTAATCACGTGCGACTCTGTGGCCCTCATTCTTAAACTCTGCGGCTCTCATTCTTAAACTCTGCTTTGACGTAGGTGAATGCAATCACGATCGACGGTGTGACTCCATTATTCAACGCATGCTCACAGGGCAGCACCAGCTGTACGGAACTTCTTCTAGAATATGGTGCCAAACCCCAGCTGGAGTCATGTCTTCCTTCTCCCACACATGAGGCCGCCAGTAAAGGTGACTTAGTTATGGGGCTAGGTGACGAGGGGAGGAAGCCCCTTTACCAACATGGAGTACTCCATTTTGCTTTCAATGAGTAATGGCGGGGAAGAGCCTGAGATGAGGTGCAAGGAGATGGCCGCGTCAGGAGTGAACTCATCTCTGCTTTATGTCGGCAGGTCATCACGAATGCCTAGAAATACTGATATCCTGGGGCGTAGATGTTGACCAAGACGTTCCTCATCTGGGAACTCCACTTTATGTAGCGTGTATGTCACAGCAATTCCACTGCATCCGGAAGCTTCTTTATGCTGGTAATTTTCTTTCAGACCTCTCCCATTCTGTCCATACACAAAAGCAATTATTCGGATCCATATGTACGTCTCTAATAAACTTCGTAAAGATATCACATTGCTAAAAACGTTCTTATTCCAAGCATTGTTGCATGTAAGTATGAAAGCCATAAAAAAGAAGTTGCATTCTTGGTAATGCCACTTCACCTCACAGGTCCAAAAGCCCTGCTTATAAAGATCATAAAATGTAAAACCTCAGGGTTGATCTAGTGTTTTCCAATATGTATTTCTTCATGAATAAATCCATCACCAGAAATTTTAGGGACAGTAACTGCTTAGCTACCGTATCTTCTTGTACCAGTCGTGAGAAGTCACGTGCTCACCCGACTGTGTCCTGTCCCATTTACCTACAAAGACTTAACAGCCTATTCTTCTTACTTGAAACAGGCCAGTTGCTCAGGGTTCAGTGTTAGTCTCCTGAGAAACTTGGCCTCCTCCTTTGAGACCATAGTGGCGTGTCCCCCTAGGAACAGGAGCTGTCTTCAGGATGTGGGTTTTGTTCTTTCCCCACCGTCTCCTTTCCCTTCCATGGCACCTCTCCTGTGGCAGGTGCCTAAAATATACCTGCAATGGATAAATGGATTTCCATGCTTTTTACTGTTTATGCCATCATTTGGCCTCTGACACACTCACAATACCTTTGCTAAATTTTAAGCTTCTGCAGACAGTTTCTACTCAGCTCCGTCACTCCCTTTATGTCTAATTAAGTCTCCAATGTTACCTCCACTAGTAATTGTGGACACGTTATTTTCTGGCTGTGATCGCCCATGAATTTGTAGAACCAGAAGAGTTTCTTTATTGCCTCTTTTTTTTTTTTTACTTTGCTAGGAATATTATTCTTTCCACCAAAAACTTTCTACTGGGTAAGAAAGATAGTGCTCTTGGTAACTGTGGATTGATTGTCATTATCAGGCTCTGCTCTCCCATAAAATTAACATAAACAACAGTTTATGCTTTCTCTATGGAAATTTTTTTATGGACTGTCATTCTTTCACGAAACATTGTGTATTTGGTTTAAAAATAGGAAAACAATTACATCTGTTGAAATGTGAAAGTAGCAGGAAGGCCTAAAGGGACCGTTAAAATGTACTGCGTCTTGTAAACATCATCAGTTTTATTGATCGTATCAGAAAACAGAGTTGAAAAGGACTTACGCATTTTTGCTGATAGATAGTTCTTGGTGTTGGAATCATTTACGCGCTGGGAAATGAGGTTACTGCTCTCCAGTTTACACAGTATTGACTCATTGCACATGTACTGAATGGCCACCATGTGTCAGGATGTGTACTAAGATAAAATAACTATGTAATAAATAATTTAATAGATAAGGGTTTTTTTAATGGAAGATTTTTTAAAAATGTGCTTTTCACGTGGAAATACAATGTGCCTTTCTATTTAAAAGGTTCAATGCCTTTATATATTTACTGACTTACACTCTATGAGTGAGAAGTGACAGAGTCTGTGCACCTTTCGCCTAAATAGCCCACACACGTAGATTCGTGAGTTTTCTGGGAAACACAAAGAGCTCTATTGCCTTAAAATAAACAAAGAGAGGAAGAGCAACAAGCTCTTGAATAATCTAAGAAAGACCAATCGTGATGAAAACAGACATGAGTGAGCCTCATCATGCTCTGTTTAAAATACCAGTTACTATGATTACTTCGGGGGCTTTAAAACATTTAAAAATATTTTGTATTATGGGATCTTTCAAGCATAGAGAAAAAATACTAGAGAACGTCACAAACCTGCAGTCTCCATCTATGTGTACCAAGTTTTAATGGGTACATTTGAAGTGTGTGTGTGTGTTTGTGGGGAGAGAGAGAGAGAGGAGGGAAGTAACTCATTACAGAGGTGAGTCCTCAGCATCATACCCTGCAGCCTGCACTGAGGTAGGCGACTGGTCTAACAGCTTTTGTTGAGATCTCTCATCATTCCTTGTCTCCACATAGGTGCCGACGTACAGAAAGGCAAGTACTGGGACACCCCCCTGCACGCCGCTGCCCAGCAGTCCAGTGTGGAGACTGTCAGCTTACTGCTAGAATTTGGAGCAGATATCAACGCCAGAAATACAGAGCTGCTTCGACCTGTAGATGTAGCGACTTCCAGCAGTTTGGTGGAAAGATTACTGCTTCAACATGAAGGTGAGAATACATGTGAGCCGTTCAAAAACACAGGGCGCCTGGGTGGCTAGGTCAGTGGAGCGTCTGACTCTGGATTTTGCCTCAGGTCATGATCCAAGGTCGTGGGATCGAGCCCTGCATTCCTTGAGCTCCGCACTAAGGGCGGAGCCTGCTTAACATGCTCTCTTGGCCTCTCCCCCAACCCCAGCTCATACTCTCTCTCTCTCTCATTCTCTCTAAAAATAAAACAAAAAACAAAAAAACAAAAACCCACAAAAATACATTTGCCCAAAAGTGATCGATGCAAATGAAAGACTTTGTGTTGACACGTCAGTGACATTGACCTAACATTTAATATTTTTGAAGCAGATGATTTTTTCAACTGAGGTCCTATCTCTAAAGAAGATACCACAATGATCTCAATTTTCTTTTTTTCATCTTATGTAAACTTTATATTCATTTGGTTATATTGAATGTATTCAGTTTGTTTTGACAATACATAATAGGTAATTCTGTTTAACATCTGCTGAGAAATATTTGGAAACATGTCCCCTTTTCTGAGGGCACACAGCCTCTATAATGTAGAAACAGAATCAGGAAATACTTTCATACCTAAGACTTCTGTTATTTAAAATTTTTTGTGATGTTTGTTTATTTCTTGAGAGAGAGAGACAGAGCCTGAGCAGGGGAGGGTCAGAGAGAGAGGGAGATACAGAATCTGAAGCAGGCTCCAGGCTCTGAGCTGTCAGCACAGAGCCCGACACAGAGCTCAAACCCACGAACCGTGAGATCGTGACCCGAGCCAAAGTCAGATGCTTAACTGACTGAGCTACCCAGGCACCCCAAGACTTTTGTCATTTTAAAACAATTTCTTAATTGTGGCTCAGGCACTATAATAAAATTCATTTTGGCTTAACCAGTAAGCCTACTTTGAGAATAAGATGTAACTTAAAACTTTCCCCCTTTAGTGCCTAAAGTTCTTGAGTCTTTTTATATCTTCTTTGAAAAGGAGAATTTATTTCTGAGGCTTTTATGTGCAACAATAATCTCCTAAGCCTCAGTATTATACTGTTTGAAAGAACCCATGTGCAACACAATTAAAATAAGAGCTTATAAATAAAAGCAATAGAAATGCTTATATAAAAGCCTCTAGCCCAGCAGCCATCCTACACTACTTTCCCTCAGAGCACTGAAACTTCTGGTTTATTTCCTGCATCTTACAACATACAAAACTCCATTCTGACTTTGATTACCAAGTGCGTGCCCATCTTTTGCAGCCACTCCAAGCAGCCTTTGCCAGCTCTGCCGACTGTGTATCAGGAACTACATAGGAAGACCGAGACTGCACCTCATCCCCCAGCTCCAGCTTCCAACGCTGCTGCACAACTTCTTACAGTACCGATAAGACAGTGAAGTAACGCTAGATGCTTGTGAAGTCAGAACAATTCTAGTTCATCTGCACCATGTACATTTCATACTAAAATATGCTAAACCTAGTGTATAAGGGAAATAGGCCCTGGGGAAGAAGTGAAATCTCAATTTAAATTTTAAGTGTACTAGTGAGTTACTACTGTTTTATGCATCTTTACCAGTTTGGGGGACTATAGCATATTTAAAATACCTGTATATTATTAACTATTCCCATGTGTCCTTTTTGATTTAGGAGAAAAAGAGAAATCTCCATTTTATTTTATTTTATTTTATTTGAGAAATCTCCATTTTAATGTTTCTTTTTATGAAGAAGAAAAATGCGAACTCCTACTGAAATTACATATTTTAAAAGGCCTCCATTCTTCAAATAATGCATTAACTTTTAAATTTTAGCCGCTGTAACTGATTATCTCTCTGTATTTGTTATATTAATGCAAAGTACAAGTATGGTTTAGAAAAGAGCAACTAGTCTCCTTTTTGAAATAAAGCTGACTGTCGTTCAGGAAACCCACCATGTCCAGTGTGCACCTGTCATTACAGTGATCGAGCCATGAAGAAGAGATAAATCGCCCCCGCCTGCAAAGATCTCACTAGTCACTTCACCACCTGAAATGTCCCCATTGCGGAAACTGGTTGGACTGGGGTGACGGCTCCTTCCATCTCTCCTGGGGTGGCTGGAACCTTGCCCCCCTTGCTAGGACTATTTTAAGACGTCCCCCGTCTCCAGGGTAGCCTCTTAAGGCCTCTCTACAGGGCTTTCGTAGAGAAGGCCTTCTTTCAGCCTTCTTCCGTCTCAGAAACTGTCACTAGCTGATGGTGCCTGTGGGCGGAAGAACGTGAACTTCATACCCAATTGCGAAAGAGGCCCTGCCTGGGCCGGGCTCCAGGGATGGGGGCAGTCCAAGGCTGTGTAAAACAAAAGATAAAAAACTCCTTCAATTGTGGGGTGTGCAGAGAAAACAAAAAGGGGGTGCCACTTAGCAAATGCAGAGACCTTACAAAAATTACCCCATACATACACCGTACTAATGCTGTTTCCAGTCCTTCTCATGCAAAGCAAGCCTTCTGGCGTAGACCGTATTAGCAAGGGGGTGTCGTGTACAAAGTAGTGTCCTGGGCAGGATTAATACTGTGTTCATTTTCTTCTGCTTTAGCCGTGCTTCGGGGCGGTATAAAACATAACAAGACAAGTTTTGTGTCTTCTTTGTAACTTAGACTTAGGTTTGAGTCTATTGTGGACTGAGAAACAGGATTATCAGGATACTTACTACAGTGTAAAGTAGAAAAGATTTTGATGAGTTGTATACATTTATCAAACTTTGATAAAATATTTTGACCACCATTTTAATAAGCCCAGGGGCCTACGTTTCTTTCTTCTCTGTTCTTGGCTGAATTTTGGAGACCTATGGGAAGCAAACTATTCTTGAATGGAACCCCAATGTCACTAAGATCGCATTTTTAAGTCGTGTTTAGATTCTCAAAAATAGAAATAAGGCTGTAGCATGTTTGTTAAAAAAAAATGTCTTCTGTATGCCTGAAGACTTTTAAATAAGGCTGTTCCACTAAATAGCTCAGCCTAACAAATTTATCATGTCCTCATGAATAATGTGCATTTAATTTTTTTAATTATAGAGTAACCTCATTACATGTAATTGGGTATTCAGATTGATTTTTCATAAAACAGGTTTTGACTAGTATTTTCCCCGAGTTAGAGGTAGGCTTAGACTGTAAGGTACTAAATTCATCCCTTTCCACTGGTCTTGTGGCAATAAGTGCATATCAATATTAAAATTAAAGTGAGTATTTTTAACATTCTAGTATGCTGATATCTTGTATCTTTGCTTGGGTATGACTGTCTTATGGAAGAAGTGTTCTAATTTAAACGTATCATGTGTTTGTTAATATGTTAAAGTGTGACTATTATCCCTGGAATAAAATAATTTTTTTTTCTCTTCTCATTAGTATTTGGTTTCATAACTGAAGGTAATGAGGACTAAGATTCAATTGCTCTAATTTTTTTCACCATTAGTTTTTAAATCACTGTATTATGGGCATTAGGAGAGTAGTGCAGATTGAAACCGATACTTCAAAGGTCTTCTAATCCAGATAAAGATCCAAGGACAAAAATCCCTAAAAGGCAAAGACCAAGCCAAACTATTTTACATGAGATTAAAGAAGTACAATGAAATAGTCATTGTACCAAGGCAGTGCTGAAACATTTTGGAGGACAAGGTATTTAATTTCTACTGTTGTTTTAACCACAGAGTATATGCAGTGTTTCTGAGGAAGTGCACAGAGGCACTGTGAAAGACGGCCGGCCCCTTTGGAAAAGAGGGTCTAAATGTACTTAACTCTGTTCATTGCTCTGTGATGGTCTTGAACCCAAGTGACTGCGGCTGTCTGTTTACAAATTTTATAACTTATTCTCTCTCTCCCTTGGATTAGACTCACTTTTTTACTCTAATTTTCCAACTTCCTTATTCTAATGATAATTTATAATTAGTTTATCTTAAGGCCTGCCTTCTCTCTTAAAAATCTAAACAATCATTCTCAGACTTTTCAGTGAAAATTCAGGTGTAGGGCACCTGAGGGGCTCAGTTGGTTAAACGTCAGACTCTTGATTTTGGTTCAGGTCATGATCTCATGGTTCATGGGATCGAGCCCCATGTCACACTCTGTGCTAAGAGTGCAGAGCCTGCTTGGGATTCTCTCTCTCCCCCTCTCCCAGCCAGGCATGCTCCCTCTCTCTCTCAAATTAAATAAATAAATGTTTAAAAAAAAAATTTGAGTGAGTTATTATCCCTCCATCTGCTCTAGGACCTTAAGTCATTTCAGCTCTCGAGGCCTCAGTTTTCTCCTTTTTTAAATGACCGGTATCTTCCCATTTTGAGTAGTGTGCTCAAATTCAAGGAGTCTTTTAATAAGTAACTTCTGAAATTCAGATACATTTTTTAAAAATTTTAATGCTTATTAAAATGCTCTCCTTTGAGAGAGAGAGAGACAGCAAGCAAGGAACGGGCAGAGTGAAAGAGAGACACAGAATCCAAAGCAGGCTCCAGGCTCCAAGCTGTCAGCACAGAGCCCGATGTGGGGCTCAAACTCATGAACCAGGAGATCATGACCTGAGCCGAAGTCGGATGCTTAACCAACTGACCCACCCAAGTGCCCTTCAGAGATAACATTTTTCAAAACATTTTTGGTGTCTAAGAGGCTTACACTGTAGATACAAATTTTATAAAGCACCTGTTCAGGTGTACAGAAGCCAACTTTATTCTTCTCATAGAACGTCACGTGTATCTCAAGTGTTCCTTTCATCCCGTGAAATCTGGCCACTTTGGGGTAAACTCATTCAATTCCGTGCTTTCTCAGTCTCTCAGGGACACTCTTCAGATGACCCTGTTAATGCCAGTATTTTTCCTCTCACCCCATTTCTTTCTGGGGTGACATCTGAATTCCAAAAGACTCTGTGAAACCCACTTTTGGGTGGGGGTGCTCATTGGCCAGGGTGTGCCCCCCCCCCACACACACCGGGTGTCATGGGTCCGAGGAACGAGTGTTAGAACAGAGTACAAAGGGCCTTTACAGGGAAGCCCGCGGTGGGAAAGCCTGAAAGCACACGATTCTCCCGGACTTCCTCTTGCCTCCTTGCCTTTGCTGCTGCTGTTCCCTCTGCCTGGAACGCCCCATCGGCCACCTTGCTTGTCACCGCTGTGTGTCCGCCGTGCTCTAAAAACTTACTTTTCCGCTCCGAGTTGCAAGTAGTGTCCCTCTGTGGGACCAGTTTGCTTTCTGCCCAACAGAGCATCGCGCTACGAAGTAAAGCTCTGAATGTGCCCTTGACAGGCGATCCATCAAAAACAACCGCTGACCTTGACGGCAGCCGGGCTTGTGCGGAAGTTGGGTGGATCTTGCAGGGTGACTGTGGGTCACTGCAGACTTGGTCAGGCAGTACCTCCAATTATAGCCGGGGTTGTTTTTCCCTCATTGGAAATATCTTTACTGGAATAAATCACCAGCGCCCTAGCAACTGCTGTGCCATTGCTGATCTGGAAAGTACTTTCTCCCTCTGTAACAAGCTGCAAGAAGCACCGAAAGTAGTTTGCTTTTATTTAGCAGGACCAATCGTGCGCGCTCATGGTCTGGCCTTAGGGTCAAATCGATTTTCCTGCTCTCGCCACAGGGTCAGCAGAGGCTTTGAGGGTCTTCACAGCCCACAGAACCTCACACTCTCCATCGAGATCTTGATGCCTCAGTACGAAGCAGGTGAAACCTCGCTCCGCCTATAAAGCAGGTATCACTGGGCATCCAGGCAGGACGGCGGAAGTACACAACTGAAACAAGAATTTAATCTCAGGAAATGGCTAAACAGATGCTGGCGAACTGAACAACTAAAATGGGGCCATCAGATTAACAGAAATAGACGACTCAGGAAGCAATTGCCACCTCTCGTGCTAGAGAACACATTAAGAAGTGAGGGTTGTAAGAGCCCAGAACTCGGAGGGAAAGTTCTGTGGAAAGACTTCTGAAGGGCCAGAGTACACAGCTGGCGCCAACTCTTGAGGAGCTCAGAGGTGCGGTCCCAGAGTCACATCCCGGGCCCTTTAAGGAGGGCCACTTCTCAGGGCTTGCTGACTGTCTGAGCCAGCGTGATGAAATGTGTTCCAGGAGAGCTAAAGAAGGTTGGGACCCGGCCAGCTGCCCCCCCAGGTTATGCTTTGTTGCTGTGGTGACACCCCTGTGAAGGCCAGCGGCGGGGAGACAGCAAGCGCCTTCCCCCCACCCACCCCCCACCCCTTCCTGGCCTCTCTCTCTAGCTCCCCCTATTGGCAAAATGTAATAAAGCTTTTAGCAAAGGAGAAATCACACTGCTGTGTTAGAGCTAAATATAGAAGAGTGTGTTTGAAACACAGATGTGTCTGCTTAACAACTGGCACATTTATTACAGGAAGCTTTTAACCCTTAGCAAAGCCGTGCTGGATTAATCCCCAATCTATAGCCTAATCTACCTCCTTAGCTGTTACCACCCAAATCTTGGGTTAGCACTCATGCTAAAGCTAAACACTTTCTCTAACTCTGATGAGTTAGTTATTTCCCAAAACTCAAAAAAGATTCATATATCGGGGCGACTGGGTGGATCAGCCGGTTAAGCGTCAAGCATCGGACTGTCCATCTCCTGGTTCGAGGGTTTGAGGCTCATGGGTTTGTGCCCCATGTCTGAGACTGTTGGGGAGCCTGCCTGGGATTCTCTCTCTCCCTCCGTCTCAAAATAAACTAAATTTAAAAAAACAACCAATAACATATCACAGATTATATCATCTATGCTTTGGCTCACAGTAGTGATTCTGTGGGCAACTGGCTCCATCCCCCTTCCCACAGACTTCCACCATTGTCTTAGAAACAACTTATCCTTACTGAGATCTTACTACGTGCTGTACACTCTTGGAGGCTCTTTGCATATTTAACTTTTTAATTTAATCCTTAACACAACCCTCTGAGGTATACCCTATTTATTTCCACCTTTTAGACATTTTATAACTTGCCCAAAGTCACATAACTGATAAAAAGTAAAGCAGCTCCTCCGACGCCTCTGTCATAAACTATTTAAAATACTGCCGTATAAGATCCAAATCAAATGTCACCTTCTCTCAAAGGACTCCTAGAGTCCCTCAATCCAAATTACATGCTTCCTCCCCCATACAAATATATTTTTACCATGGCAGAGCCTTTCAGAGTACATGATCTTTCCACTGGTATTTATATCTGTGAACCTTCTATAAATACTCTAGTGCAGAGCTGCCTAATACAACCCCCTGCACTGATGGTGCTGTATCTGTGCTATACAACATGGGCAGCCAATAGCCACACGTGGATACTGAATATATCTATAAATGTATAATAGATAAATATATCTATAAAGAGCCACAGTTGGCGCTACCATATTGGATCCTAAAGATTGAGCACATAACACAGCGCAGCACGGTTCCTCAAAAAAAGTTCATTGAAAGAATGATTCACTGGTGAAAAACTTCACTGGGCAAATAGAAAACATTTCCATACCTTTGTTTTTCTCTTTGAAATCATATACAGACTCACACTGGCTTATTATTTTCTAATGTTTATTTATTTTTAAGAGAGAGAGAGACAGACATGAGTGGGGTTGGGGCAGAGAGAGGGAGACACAGAACCCAAGCTGGCTCCAGGCTCTGAGCTGTCAGGGCAGAGCCTGATGCCGGGCTTGAACCCACGCGCTGAGAGATCATGAGCTGAGCCCAAGTCCCACTCGTAACTGAGCCACACAGATGCACCATGGTTCACTTTATTAATAAACAAATATATGAATAAACATGCCACAAAATATTACATAGCTCCACTATCAAGATCTATCCCATATTTTATCTCACATAATATGTACGCACATGCCACACTGCTGGTTTTTTGCATAACTTTTTGAAGGATTTTAATAAATTTGTATATTTAATTTATAATTGCCGATGCTACACTTCTTTTTTCTCTGCATTGCATTGTTCACTGATAAATCCCAAGCAACTAGGTCAGTGCCTGGCACATACTAAGGACTCAGATAATTGTTGAAAGAATGAATCATATATGGCAGGGCATCTTTGTGAAATGTGAAAACTTACAAATTACTTTGGAATATTATGTATTTTTTATAAACCATGTAATAACTAAGGGAACAGGTTAAGTCTGTAGATGTTAGACATTTATTCATTTTAATTTTGAAAATTTTTTCTTTGGCATTTTGGAGCAAATACTCTATCATTTCCGATTTCTAAACAAAAACTGACCTTGTCTTCTGGAAGGTTCTCACAGCCTCCAAATGCTTGACTGACAATAGGCCTTTGGCTGGGCTGAATCCATAATATCTAAAAAGTAAATTTATAAGGAAAAAGGATTTGGAGGGAAACTCTAAATTGGTTAGAAGCGAGGCTAACTACAACTAAGGCTGGGGCCAGGAATCACCACAGTCCAGAGCATCAGCTCCCCAAACTGGGGAGCGCGCGAGGTCCAGTGCCCGCCCCCGCTGAAGCCCCGCCCCGCAGCCCCCGCCCCCACCGAGGCCCCGCCCCCTCCCGGCCCCGACGCACCGAGGCTCCGCCCCCGCCCCGCCCCGCCCGGCCGCGGCTGCTGCCATAGTAACCCGGAAAGCGCCATGGCTGCCGCCGGCCTGGGAGGAAGGCTGTTGACACTGCCGGCGGCAGCCCTACCCAAGTCACCGTCACTTTCGGTACAGCCAGCAGCTCCCATCCGAGGGAAGCCTAAGAAATGTCTGGTCTATCCGCATCCACCGAAGAGCTCCCGCCTGTCTCCGTCGGTTCTGCGCTGGCTCCAGGGCCTGGACCTCACCTTCTTCCCCAGGAACGTCAACAGGTGCAGGCGCAAGCCGCCTGGACCGGCGCGGCGGCCTGAGCGTCCCGGGGACCGGCCGACCCTCGGTGGCCCTGCCTGCCCCGCCTCCCCGCCGCGGCGGCGCACGACTCGGACTGCCTACCCCGCCTAGTTTAGGGTTCAGACCCAGACCCCCGCCCGCCCAAGCGCGCGCGCGCGCGCGCACACACACACACACCCCCACACACCCACACACCCCTTCTCCTTTTAGGGAGTGGGCGCACACACACACACACACACACACACACACACACACACACACACACACCCCTTCTCCTTTTAGGGAGTGGGCCTGGAAAACACACGATGAAGCACTCACTTATTTATCCATTCAACCAATCATTCCATTTTAGACTTGAGCTAATATACAATGCCTTGGTGACTGCAAAAAAATATTAAGATAGTCAAGGCTCTTTTCTTTACAGACGCTGGATATTAATAATCGTGGGGATCAGTTTACCGTCCGGATGGCATCTGGCTTTTTCAATCAGGGATTGAGAAAAGTTGCTGCTTAACTGCAGTCACCCTGAACGTAACGGGCAGTTAGTATCTCCTCTGGGAATGCGAACTAATTTCCATAAATATGAAGACGGTGACTTTTTGGTAGTCAAGGACTCTGGTTTACTAATTTCAATATTCCGTAATAAAGACATGCCTGAAATCTTCAGTGCGCATCAGAATCACCTAGGGATCTTGTTAAAATGCAAATTCAATTCAAATTAATAGTTTGGGTTCATAAAAAGACCACCAAAGCCTTTGGTGTGTATCTAATCAAAAGTCTATTCCACAGCAGGTCCTTCTTAGAGCAATGATCCAACAAAACTAATTTTATAAGTTATTTGCTGCCAGTGTGGAATATTAAATTGGTGTTAATTGATTATAAAATAATACAAACTGTAAAAGTAACTACATTTTATTTCATTTCTTTAATACTATGTATCAGGGATTTTTCAAATGGCTTCCTGATTGCAGAAATATTCACTGTATACTACCCCAGGGATCTTCAATTGACATCCTTTGAAAATGGAACTTCTCTGAAAGTCAAGTTGGATAACTGGGCACAGTTGGAGAAGGTAAATTAGCGGTCACTGACACTTTGTTAAAAAGTTTGTGTTTTAAAAAATGGTATAATCCTGATGTGGTTGATATCTACACATACTTGTGTGTGGCTGTGCCACAAAGCTGGCAGTTTGTTTCCTTGTATTGAAAGAATGTTATTAAAGTTTGTCATGAGTCACTTATGAAACTCAGCATACTCATTTCAAATTGGAATGGGATAGAATGGCTCATTTTCTTGCTGAATAATAGTATCTTTTAATAAACATATTAAACAATTTTTTTTAAATAGTTGAGAGACAAAAGGGGGTTAAAGTGAATACATAGTATTGAAGATTTTACAGAACGTCTTATAATGAAAACCTTCTTTCTACTATTAAAGTTCCTGGCAAGAAAAAGACTTAAGTTACCTAAAGAGCTAATCCATGGAACAATTCACTGCAAAGCCGGAGTACCTGAAATACTAATACAAGAGGTTTATACTTTGTTAACACATAAAGAGTAAGTCATTTGGAATTTTCTAGTGATACAACTTAATATGAACATTTGGTAAATCTCATTACTAAAATGTGGCTCATCAAGAGTATTTTATTTTCTATTTCCAGAATTAAAAGTATCCGGGACGACCTGGTGAATTTCACAGACTACAGTTACCAGATGCTTTTGCCCCTGGTTCCTAGGTCTACAGCTTCAAAATTGATTAAAGATAACATTAGGTTATCAGAGATAAAAAGCAATCCCAACATGCTCAGCAATGAGCTTAAAGTAGAGTTCCTCTTCCTTTTACAAATGTTGCAAAGAAAATTAAGCAGAAAACTGAATCCAAGTAAGTTCTCCTTAGAAACAGTCAACTGAGTTCTTCCCAACTTAATGAGGCTGTGCTAGAGTACCGATGAAAGAAAAGCTGACCTTCTGCTTTTTCTATCCCTGGTTTAAAGGGAAAATGGTTCTCTTATGCTAGCAGCGGAATGATTTATTATCACTGGAGTGGTTTATGTCATACATTTTTAAGTGAAAGTATAGGCTAACTTAGTATATTAACACTTCTCATTTTAGAAGAGCGCGAATGAATATGTTCACATGCAATTTTGTGGGAAGTAAGTTCAAATATCCTTTCAAGTTAAAGAGGATGGGAATATTTCAGACTTTATCAGGATGCAAGTACTGTAGGAAAAGCCTAGATTACCATGATTCACTCTAGACGCTGTCCAGACCAGGGTCAGGACTGCCCTGTAGCAGCATCGGTACGTAGACTGGTAAGGTGAGGCAGATGGAGGCAACCCCCGGCAACCTCCCAGAGCCATCACTGAAATCATTCTCCAAGCATCCAAAGCATTAGCCACCAGAGTCCCAAAATAGGACAAAAAAAAAAAAAATAGTGAACTTTCTCTTTTCATTGTTGTTGCTTTACTACTGCTTAACTCAGGACACCATTCAGGTCTTAGAATCCTATAGTCCTTGACTCCAGACACTTGGTGGCTTCATCATGACCGTGATACCCAAACCATCTGGGAATGAGGCAGCTATAGGTCATTAGGATTTCTCCCTCATTCTAACCACCATTTTCTGAAGAAAAGAGACATTTTCTCTCTAGTCTCTGGAAGGAAAGGAGACCAGTAGCTGTAACGTCCACCCAAAATGTGGGTTGGATGTTTTCATTTTCATCCTGTCGCTCTGCTCATCTTCCACTGCCTATCATTTTTTGTTTCTCTTCCTTATTTGCTCTCACTCATGAATTTGTGAGTAGAGAAAGAACTGAGGTCTTTAATCCTGCTGTGAAATATGTTCACATTCTTTTGGATGTTTTTAAACATTACAATTCTGCTGTGATTTGTGTGAATCACACATGCACGTGATGTAGACGTACAACTTTAAAAAGACCACGGATAACCAACCATCTGTGTATCCCTCCAAGTCTATGTGAATTTCAGGTGAACAGTTCCCACAGCTCTACCTTCTCCCGGTGTCCCGCCCCCGCTGCGTTCTCCACACTTCCCTCTGGCAGTAACCACTGTCCTGGGGCCTGGAGCCTTGATTTAAAACCTAGTGTGTCTATGCACACGACTTACCTTCCTCTTAACTTCATTCATATGTATTTCTTAATTGAGTAGACTTTATCAAACTCGTAGTAGGCAGAATGGCTCGCACGCTCCTCCTGCCCAATGCCTGGAACCTGTGAATCCGTTGTATTAAATGGCAAAAGAGGCTTCGCAGAAGTGGCAGACCTTGAAATAGGGAGTTTATGCTAGACTAGTCAGGGGGGTCCAGTCTAATCACATGGGCACTTAAAGGCAGAGATCTTCCTCCAAGTGGCATCAGAGCAATGCAGCAGAAGCAGGAATGGCCTGAGGTGTGGGGGGGCCTCAAGCCTCCACGAGAAGGGGAGGACAGGGCCTCAAACAACTCGAAGAGACAGCCAGCAACCAGATGGAGGTTCTGGACCTAGAAGTGCAAAGAGCCAAATTCTGCCAACAACCTGAAAGAGCACGGGAGAGGATCTATCCCCAGGGCTTCCAGAAGGATGAGGCCCTCCTAACATCTTGATTTCAGCCTGGTGAGACGCTAAAAAGAAGCTCCCGGACTTCTATACTGTGAGAGTAAAGATGGCTGCTGCTCATAAGCCACCAACTTGATGGTAACTTGTTATGGCAGAAATGAAAAACAAACACAAATTTCATAATTAATACTGTTGGCATCATGAGCTTACGAAAATATTCTCCTATACTTACATTTACTAAGGTTTTAGCCTTTCCATTTTATTTTTTTAATGTTGATTCCAGTTAACACACAGTGTTATATCAGTTTCAGGTGTACAATTGAGTCATTCAATACTTCCATACAACACCCAGTGCTCATCACAAGCACACTCCTTAATCCTATCATCTATTTCCCCCATCCTCCCACCCACCTCCCCTCTGGTGACCATCAGTTTGTAGTTAGGAGTCTCTTTTCTGGGTTTGCCTCTTATCTTTTTTCCCCTTTGCTTGTTTGTTTTTCAAATTCCACATGAGTAATATCATATAGTATTTATTTGCCTTTCTCTTTAGCATTATATTCTCTAGCTACATCCATGTTGTTGCAAACGTAAGATTTCATTCTTTCTTATGGTTGAGTAACAACCTATCGTCTTTATCTATTCATCCCTAGATGGATGCTTTGGCTGTTTCCATAATTTGGCTCTTGTAAATAATGCTGCAATAAACACTGGAGTGATGTATCCCTTTGAATTAGATTTTTGTAGTCTTTGGGTAAATCTCTACTAGTGTGATTGCTGGACTGTAGGGCAGTTCTACTTTTAACCTTTCAAGGAAACTCCATACTGTGTTCCAGAGTGGCTGTACCAGTTTGCATTTCCACCAACAGTGCAAGAGAGTTCCTTCTTCTCCACGTCCTTACCAACAAGGAGCTTGTTGTTTCTTGTGTTTTTTATTTTAGCCATTCTGATAGATGTGATATCTCATTGTACTTTTGATTCGCTTTTCCCTGGTGATGAGTAATAGTGAGCATCTTTTCACCTTTCTGGTGGCCACTTGGATGTCTTCTTTGAAGAAATGTCTCTGACCATTTTTAATTGGATTGGTTTTTGGGTGCTGATTTTATCAGTTCTTTATATATTTTGAATAATAACCCTTTACTGGATATGTCATTTGCAAGTATCTTCTCTCATTCAGTAGGTTGCCTTTTAGTTTTGTGGACTGTTTGCTTTGCAGTACAGAAGCTTTTAATTTTGATGCAGTCCCAAGAATTTTTGTTTTTATTTCCCTTGCCTCAGGAGACATATCTAGAAAAATGTTGCTATGTTAGCCTTTCACTTTAAAATTTTTTTCAACTTTATTGAGGTATAACTGACAAATAGAAACTATATACTTAATGTGTAAAACTTGATGCTTTGGTATACATATACATTGTTCAATGACCACTGCAATCCAACATATCCACCTTCAGGGCGCCTGGTGGCTCAATCCATTGAGCATTCAACTTCGGCTCAGGTCATGATTTCATGGTTCCTGAGTTCAAGCCCCACGCAGGGCTTGCTGTTGTCAGCCCAGAGCCTGCTTTGGATTTTCTGCGCCCGCCAACCCCCCCCCACCCCACCCCCCGCCGCCGCCCCTCCCCTGCTCAGGCTCTCCTGCTCTCAAAAATAAATATTAAAAAATATGTATCAATTTCCTCACACGGTTGCCATTTTTTTTTCTGTCTTCCCTTTTCTTTTTTTCTTGCTTGCTTGCTTGCTGTGTGTAGTGAGTACACTTACGGTCTACCCTCTTAGCAAATTTCAAGCACACAATACACTATTAGATACAGTCACCACGCCACACATTAGACCTGCAGAACTTACCAATCCTGCATAACTGAGATTCTGCACCTTTGATCAGCATCTCCTCATGTCCCCCTCCACCCCATCCCTAGAAATTACCATTTCACTCTCTGCTTCTAAGGGCCGGCTTTACATTCCACATACAAATGGTAATGTGGTATTTGTTTTTCCACTGTCTGGCTTATTTCTCTTAGCATAATGTCCTCTAGTTTTATTTGTGGAAGCATATAAAATGGCTGTACCAATTCACATTCCAGCAACAGTGGAGAAGGGTTCTCTTTTCTCCCACATCCTCATAAACACTTTTTATCTTTTGTCCTTTTTGATAACAGCCATTCTGACAGATGTATGATGATATATTATTGTGGTTTTGATTGCACTTCCCTGATTATTGATCATTAGTGATGCTGAACACCTTTTCATATACCTGTTTGCCATTCGTCTATCTTATTTTAAGAAACATCAACTTAGGTCCTTTGCTACATTTTTAATTGGGTTATTTGTTTTGTCTGGTATTGAGTTATATGAATTCCTTATATGTTTTGGATATTACTCCCTTATAAAGTATAAAACACTGATGAAGGGAAGAAGACACAGATAAATGGAAAACCATCCCATGTTCATGGATTAGAAGAATACTGCTAAAATATACTACCCAATTGATCTACAGAGTCAATGCGAGCTTGCAAAATTTCAATGGCAGTCTACAGGAATAGAAAAAACAATCCTGAATTCACTTGGAATCATGAAAGAACCTGGATACCCAAAGTCATTCTCTGAAGGAAGAACAAGGCTGGAAGCATCACACCTCCTGATGCAAACTATATTACGACAGTAAGGTACTGGCATAAAAACAGACCTATAAACAGAACAGTGAGCCCAGAAATAAATCCATGCATTTACCTGATCTTGAATAAGGATGCCAAGAAAGCACAATAGGAAAAGGACAATATCCTCAATAATTATGTTGAGAAAGGGGCGCCTGGGTGGCTTAGTCGGTTGAGCGTCCGACTCTCGCTTAGGTCATGATCTCGCGGTTCGTGGGTTCGAGCCCCGCGTCGGGCTCTGTGCTGACTGCCAGCTCGGAGCCTGGAGCCTGTTTCAGAGGCTGTGACTCCCTCTCTCTCTGACCCTCCCCTGCTCACGCTGTCTCTCTCTCTCTCTCTCCTAGAAATAAATAAAACATTAAAAAAAATAATTATGTTGAGAAAATTGGATATCTACTTGCAGAAGAATGAAATTGGACCCTTATCTCAAACCCCAAATCAAATCCAAATGGATTCAAAGACTTAAACATAAGACCTGAAACCATACAACTGCTAGAAGAAAACACAGGGAAAAAGGCTTCTTAGTATTGGTATTGGCAATGGATTTTTGGAAACGACATCCAAAACACAGGCAACAAAAGCAAAAATAAATATGTGGGATTGTATCAAACTAAAATGCTTCCCGCACAGCAAAGGAAACGAATGGAAAGGGAACCTACAAAATGGGAAAAAATGTTTGCAAAGCATGTATCTGATAAGCCTCCTTTAAAATCTTAATTTGTCTGCAACTGAAATGGAGAACAAGCTGTCTTAGAACCATTTTTTGAATAGTCTGTTCTTCCCCTACTGATTTGCAATATCCTTATGTCTGAAACGTTTTAAGTTTCTGTGTATATCTGGGCCTGTTTCCTATATATATCCTAGCTGATTTTGTCTACGTGTGTGCAACTTCATCACCCAAATGATCTCAGTTACTGCGGCTTTACAGCAAGTGCTGGTACTTGGAAAACAAATCCTGCTGTTTTATCCTCTCTGAAGTGTCCTGTTGCATGGACCTCTTTACTTCATTCACTGTGACTTTTACTGTTAAGAATTCAGTAGTACTGCCTACTGCTATATTTGCATTCACATCTATCGTGCTATTTTGTGCTTTTTATTTATTCTTTTTCTGTTTCACCTATCTTTTCTTCTTTTGGACTGAATTTTTTGTAAAGACCATTCCCCCCACCCCCCAACCCCCACACTGACTGGGACAATATTTAATTTCTGCTCTTTGTAGTGCCATTCTAGAAATTTTAACATGCAGACTTTCTCCAACTTATAAGGACCCTAAAACGCTGACGGCCCCCTACCATACCTCAGCATTTGAGTTTTGTCAAGTTATTTTATTTCTCACAGCACAAATCAGATACGATTATTTTTTATACAGAATGTTTGCTTATATTTAGTCTATCTCATCATCACTGTTACTCATTAGTTCTAGCTGGGATTTCTAGAGCAAAACACAAGTATTCTATTTAATCTTCTATTTAAAAGTCCATCCTTGCACTGAGTTAACCTGTTTCTCTCCTGTCCTCCCTTGAGCACACTCTCTCATTAGCCATGGATCACCTCTACCCTCGGATTCTTAACTAGTGTTCTGTTATCACCAGTCTTGATCTTTGAGACTGATGATTTGAAGTTCAAAGTCATGAACTGTGATAATTTTAGTTCTGAGGATGTTACTGACCAGAGCTGTATTTAGCATGAACAGGGTCTGGCTGATGAGTAGTAATTACCTTAGACTCTTCTTCAAGCTGCAGAGGAGGAGTAGGTGATCTTTAGAAGCACAGGGAAACTGAAGCTTATAGAATTAATGAGAATTATGGGAAACATGGAAATAATTTTAAGTCACTTGTTATAGTATAAACATGTTTGCAGAATAAATAGATACGGCATTTTACTTATTTGAAATATAAGCAATATTTAAAATATTAAAAACCATTTAACCTGTGGATGACAGAAGTCAATACAGTCTTTTCTTTTTGGGATACTGTATGGGAGAGACAAGCAGGTACTAGTAATATATTATCTTTTGATCTGGGTGATGGATATCCCAAGTGTATTCATTCCAAAAATTCATCAAGCTGTAAATACATAATTTGTTCACTTTTCTGTATACATATTATTACTGAATAAAAGCTTATCAAAAAACTAATAGAAACATAAAGAGAGTCTCTTTAGCTTTAAAATTTTTTTGAAGTAACTTTTTTGGAGCAACTATTTTGTGCATCAAAGATGTGAACAGTGTGGGGAGAGGGTTAATCATCTTCATATTCACACCTCTCTCAGGAATATGATAAAAGAGATGTTGCAAGAATTTGCCTCATTTTAAAATTATGGTGTCTTATTTTGGCACTGGCCAAAGTGAATTTTTAACAGTTTCTCTTTTCCTATTTTATAGAGTGGTTTGAGGTCAAACCAACAGTGGGGGAATTTACTCTCGATCACCTTCCTAGCCACGCGTCTGAGTGCAAATTTAATTCCAGGATTTCAAGGGATGGAGTTGCTCCTGTCTTACGTGAGTTTTTGTTCTTGTTGCTGTTTTTTTTTTTTTTTCTATTTTACCTGTTAAATGAAATTTTTGTTTCTACTTTGCTCCTTAAGAAATTTTAAAATAGTTAAAATGTTGCCCTAGGCATTCAGTCTACAACCATGTACTGGATTGCTCTGTCCCCACGCTGTGGGCAGGGGGGAGGGCTGTGCACTCTGCTGAGTACCAGTCACCCTGGGGAGGTTTCCAAGCCCGGGTACCCGCTCCCCACTAAAGGACCCATTTCAGCTCTGATTCATCTTTAAAGAGGTGAGTCTGAAACAGGTGAAGCCCACTGGCAGAGCTCACAGCTCAATTCTCTAGCAGCGAGTGAGGAACCAGTCCTAAGGCAGATACGGATACTGGCCTACCTCAGTTTCCCAATTAGCTGTATTACAAGAAGCCCCTTGTTTACATCCTGGGAGTTCAGAAAGTACTTGCAGCAAAGCAATCTAGAGCCCATAAGCCAAAATCAATCTCCCTGCCCTGTTTTTGTAGAGCCTGCAAGTAAGAATGGCTTTTGTATTTTTAAATGGCTGAAACAATATATCATAAGAAAAATAGTATTTCCTGACGCATGAACATTATATGAAGTTCAAATTTCCACGTTCATAAAGTCGTACTGGAACACAGCCAGGCCTGTTGTGTATGCCGTGTCTACGGCTGCTTTTACACGACAGCAGCGGGGCCGAGTCACTGCCCACAAAGTAGGTTCTAGATTTAGCGAATAAAAACAGATATAACCAGTATAGCCGATAATTATGGGGACATGCTGAGGACATACTTTTAATGAAAATGATTGTTTATGTGACATTCAAACTTAACTGAGTGTCCATACTTGTTTTTACTGTCGGGTCCTTGATGGAAAATATCTGAGGACCTGTCCTACAAAGCAGGATTCCTAAAGTGTTAAAGGATTTCATGGGGTGGGGGGAGTTGGGGGGAGCTCTGTTTACATAGGGTCTGGAAAAGCAATGTTAACAGAATCCTCCTTTTAAACTTATGATTTCTCAGAGCCTTTAATATGCTGCTACGCACTGTAAATAGTAAAGAGGAGACGTACAGAAGGAAGTGTTTTACAAACTCTATTTGATCACACATGACTCTCATTCAGTTTTGTTTGGCTAACGGCCTTGGACAGCTACCGTTTCTCCGAGCACACATTTTAATATCTAGACATTAGGCCAGTCCACGAAAACCTCTTTAACTCATCATTTGCCTGAGGCATGGTACTCAGCATGACGGAACTCAAAGGGAGTGAATAACAGTGCTTCTATGAAAAAAAAAAAAGTATCCATAGTTCCCCTTCAGATTTTTCGAACTTATCCTCTCCTGCAACCTGCCTCAGCCTTCTTCCAACAGTGATGCCCGAGGCGAAATCTCCAGCAGGGGCAGAGGCTAAGGGGGGGGGGAGGGCTGCAGGTGGGCTCTGGTGCTTCCCGTGCTCACCTCTTTCCCCTTCTGGCTACCTGGACCTGACTGGGGATGGGAAGGCACAGGACCGCTTGCTTTGGGACCTGCAATGTAACGGCCGAAGGAGGAATGAGACACAGGACCCTCCTGCGTAAGAAACAGATGAAAAGTGTCCATATATATAAAATGATGGCTACTGACACTTGAATAGCTGAAGAATATTCCTCATTTCCTTTATCCTTTCAGAAACATTGCAAGGTCACAAACGAGTTTTTAGAAAAATAATGCTCTCATTTCAGATCAGAACTCCAGGAAGAGTGGCGTCCTTTTTTTACGAGTGTCATGAAGTAGGAACTGCTATCCATAGCTTCTCCTCCTCTTTAATTCTCTCCATGCTCTTTTACGAGTCCCTCTCACTCCAGTGGTCTCTCTCCATCCTTTTCAAAGTGGATGAAGGGCTATGCGATACATCACAGGCCAGATCAGGATGGGAAGAAATGTGCTTTTCTCGGTTTACTTCTCTCAATCCTGCTCCAGAAACTTGGATCCTCTTCGTCTGGGCACAATGGAAATTAATGAATGGTGTGCAGCTGACTTTGACAATTATATGGAAGAGAGCTGTTTTGCTAAATTTTATTTTTTCCAAATTAATTCAAGGGATTCCATTTCAGTTGTTTCTACTGAAAGAACAGTGATTAGTTCAGGTCAGCTAACATAATCGGAGTTAGTGGAACAGAGCTAGGCCATAAAACAGGATCCTATTTTACCATCTAAGATTGCACTGCACGTAATGGCAGCAAACCCACAGACCGTTCACTGAAAACCTTCTAATTATCAAACAGGGTGATGAAAATTAATTGTAAGACAGGTTGTTGCCTTTGTTTCTTTCTTTAACACTTAAGTCTTATGTTCACCTAAACTGAGCATCTAGCGAACTCACAGGCAGAGAGAGAAAACAGAGTTTTTAGTAGCCACTGGTCCCTCACATTAGAACTGAGTAACCTGGAAGCCAGCCAGTGTGGATGCTTTGGTGTATTGAGAGTCCCAGAAACTGAACTACGAATTATGTGTATTTGCCAAATCCAAGCACTGTTAGAATCTAGGCCTCAGCTGCTTTCTGAAGCAACATCTAAAAATAGTTGAGTCACATTCAGTATCAGATGCACCAAACTAAGCCCCGGGTATTTTAGGCACTGTTAATGACTTTTGGAAGTAGGGGGCGTTCTGATTTTTTATTTACGGCTACTACAATGCATGCTTTAAATACTCTGTTTCCCAGGCAGGCAGGTGACCCTGTGCTCAGCCTGTTGCCCATCATTCTGCAAGTTCAATATGTTAGAAACACTGATCACTGTGCAAATATTTAATAACCACAAACTGATTCTAACGTTGTTTATTTAAATATGCCAGGAAATACAGGTCCTGCCAGCAATTCACTTAGAGGAATGCACATGAAACAAGCTCGAAAACATTCTTTTGAATCTGCTATGAACCTTTTCAAAAACACGAAAACGTAACCTTGAAAAGCACGTGTCTGAAGGCTTTGAACAGTCCTGTCATACTAGAGGGTCGGATTAACTAGTCGTGGGTATATAAGTAAATTAAAGCGATGTCTTATCTGTAATTCGGCTGCCGAGCATGGTTTCTTTTTCCAATTCAATTCAAGAACCGTCTGTGCCCGGTACTGTTGAAAATGCAAAATCAACAGAGAAGGCGCAAGAATCATTTTAAAAGACACAGTGAAACATAACTCACTGTGACAGGCAAGTTTTTTCTCCTCAATTCTGCAGGAGTGGTGGGTCTGCTCTGCTCTGCTTTCCTCAGGAGAAAAGAGCTACCCCTTTGCCTGATATGTATTTACACATCACATGCACTCATAGGAATGTCCTCTGAATGATGATGATGATTATGCAGTGGCCTGGAGACAATCTTGCCCACCCCCATAACAAGCCACACTTACAACATTTTTAAAAAACAGGCATCCTTCCTGTTGATAGGGAGTTGTGGGAAATGAAAAATTGTGCCTCACTTGGAATTTGGTTTTGTTGTTTAGCAAACCATTTAGTTCAATTTAAACATTTCTGGGGCTCCTGGGTGCTCAGTTGCTTAGGTGCCCAACTTCAGCTCAGGTCATGATCTCGCAGTTTGTGGGTTCAAGCCCCGTGCTGGGCTCTGTGCTGACAGCTCGGAGCCTGGAGCCTGCTTCAGATTCTGTGTCTGTCTTTCTCTCTGCCCCTCCCCAGCTCATGCTCTGTCTCTCTCTGTCTCTCAATAATAAACACTAACATTTTAAAAAATAAATAAAAAATAAAAAAATTTCTACTGGTTGTTGCCACTTCCCAGAATCTTACTGGAGGGAAATCAGAGCTGACCGATATCCTCCTGAAAGACGGATGACCTTTCATGCATTCTTATAATTTTACATTCATGTTTGGGAAATTTTCTTCAACTGGAATTAGTCACGTTTTTATGCTTTCTCGTTAACAGTCTCATGTGACTTCCAAGATGAGCATTACTAACGCTGGGTCCCGCAGCGCGCACACCCATGTCCCCCAAAACTCTGTCCATTGCTCCGCACTGCTGAAGGCATGGCTTTATTAGAATTGCTATCTCCAAAGACTTCCATGTTTAATTTCCCCTTTTTGGCAGGTAATATTTAGTAAAAGAAATTAAAGAGAGCCCTGATGAAATAGTGCTACTTCTCAGGAGTGTGTGTAGAATCTATTTTTATCTGAGATAAAGGGAAAACAGTTTGCAGTTCTTAACCAGCTACAGGTTACTCACCTGTTACCCTGCATTCTAATGGTACAGGTCCAAAGTAGAAAATTACGAAAATAAGTTTTAACCCATAAAATATAGTTCCTTAGGCAAGGGTTATAGAAGCCAGTCTTCTGACCCTCAGCCGGGGAAAAGATCCAGAGAAAAGGATTTAGATTTGGGTAAAGAGTTGTATAAAACATTTCTTAATTGTTCCCTTGACTCTCTGTTCAATCTCCTGAAAAAGCTGACCACTCACGGCCCGTGGTAAGTTCCCAGGAGGCCTGTGAGGTCTCTGAAGAGCTGCGGGAAGTATGAACCAGACTGTACACTTCACTTCATAGTGACCACATGAAGGTAGCAGGTATGGCCTAAGTAGGCAACTTCAACAGCTTCTTAAAGATGAGCTGAATTAAGAGAGGCCAACACTACAGGTGTATCTTAAGAAGGCCATTTACGTCACCAAGGATCTTTGGCAGAAGGAATCAAGGAGCTTTGTAGGAGCAACAGCAGCTCCAATAGGGGCAGAACCTTTTCAATCAGTTGGTACAATGCTTATTGGGGAACAGGAGCCTCTGTGATTCGCTGCTTGTATTCATGAGTGAGCTTTTCCCCTTTTACACTAGTTCGGGGGGCTTACTGTACTCAGTGTTTCTTACAAGCGGAGAATCATCTTCCTGAAGAGTCTAAAGAAGTGATTTTTCTAGGTTTCCAAGTAAAGTAATAACGCGAATGGACAAGCTCAGCCCTTCACACCTCTGATGACTCTGCGCCAACATTTATGAGAGACCGTGTTCTCTCCGTGGCGGATATGGGGACAAGACTGATGCTCATCTTAGCAGTTAACTATATCTGATCTGGTTTTAACTGCAGTGTTTACTGAAATTTAGGGGACCTGAAATACAGACAGACAGACAGACAGATCTAGATAACTACATGCCCTATCACAGCACAGTCAGATGGTTAATTAAATTCAGCAGAAGAGCACTTTTTTCAATTATTTAGGAAGAAATGTTTCAAAGAGATCGTACAATAAGCACTTATTAGAGTTGACCACAATTATATCTTCTATATTACTGCTACACTAAATATGAAACCCAAAATTTTATAAACAATTAGTGAGGCTTTTACTAGATTCAGAATGCCTTTTGACTCAAGCCTGAAGAAGGGTCAATTTTCCTATTTTAAGGACAACAAAATACAAGTCATTGCTTTAATGCAGCCATGTTCCTGGACACCTCTGGGTGATTTCATAGAAAAATCATGTATGTATATGTATATGTATACGTATACACACATATATCAATTTTGATTGACATAAAAATATTTTCACAAGATAGAACTCATTGTGATATTGCAATTTTGTTAACCACCCGGTATACTTGTTATAGGCAAAATATTTTTCCAATGCTTTTAAAACCATTATCCAAGGAGACTTCTTTCCTAAAAGCATACATATACTTGCAAAACAATTTGTTCATGTTACCAATAATATAGACATCATCTTATAGTAAAATAAGCTAATATTATTTGAGTTTTCATGCATATGAAATCTAACAATGGAAACCCTTTTATAAATTTAAAGGATTGCTTTGTTTTTCATATTAAGGCACAATAAATGCAGATTTGCATGGTCAAAGGACATTTATAATTATGTGAAGAATAGTTACAATTAATATTACAAAATTACAGGACATTATAGAAGTCAAAGAGTAAAAGAATTATATTTGAAACAATTCAATTTAGATTTCAGACACAAATTTGGTTCCTCCTCTGTTGTGTTCATGTGCTAACGAGTTACATTTTTTCATAGTCTGTACATAAAATATCATTTTCCTGCACTCATTTAAAATACAGAAGAAGGAAATAATTGTTTATCTGTGTATAACTCAAACTCAATGGTATCTTTTCTTTCAAACTAGTTAAAGCACAAAAGATAGGCTTCTTAATCTATTTTAAAACAAAGAGAAATTATAGGAGGATTTCAACTGCCATTTTTATGTGAAAGGATTTACTACATATATGCTAATTAAAAATCCTCCCACCTAAAAATATTTGAGTTACACATAGCACTATGGATTTAAGAAAATACTTCTCACTATCAATGAGTCACATATATTCTCTTCCACAGTGTTAATGAAATCTTTTTTATAAAATAGAATTTAGGCCTGTAAAGTCTTTTTGAGGAGTCAGAAGTAGCTAACGCGGTAGACAGTACCTAATATATGTTGTTTTCTGTTTTAGAAGCATGTTTAAGAAAACTTTTAAAATACTTTCAATGCAACAGGTTTAAATAGAATAAAAAACGCAATTATTCTATTTATATAAGCTCACTCTTTAGTTGGTCAAAAACATCTATATTATGAATCCAATGAAACAGCTCGAGTACCAAAGTATTCTTGTTCCTGGTAATGCATTAATTTCATTGACCTCAAAGTCAGAATTCTAATACAATTGAAATACTGGTAGTCATGCCTCAATATTTTTAAAAATGGTTTTTACTCTTGGGGCGCCTGGGTGGCTCAGTCGGTTAAGTGTCCCACTTCAGCTCAGGTCATGATCTCATAGTTTGTGGGTTTGAGCCCCGTGTCAGGCTCTGTGCTGACAGCTCGGAGCCTGGAGCTGCTTCGGATTCTGTGTCTCCCTCTCCGTCTGCCCCTCCCCAGCTCATGCTCTGTCTCTCTGTCTCTCAAAAGTAAATAAACGTTGAAAAAAAAAATTTAAGTTTTACTCTATTTTTTTTTAACTTTAATATTTTGAAAGAGAAGTAGCGTAGCAGGGGAGGGGCCGAGGGAAAGGGAGGGAGAATGTGAAGCAGGACCCACGCCCAGCGCTGAGCTGGACACAGAACCGAACACAGAACCCAACATGGGGCTTGATCTCACAACCATGAAACCATGACCTGAGCCAAAATCAAGAGTCAGACGCCTAACTGACGGAGCCACCCAGGCGCCCCAATAGTTTTAGTCTTTTAATAAATATTTTAAAACCTTGAATTTATAATATACCCCAAATTTTAACTAATGTTCTACTTACTTATAGAAATTTATTTGAAACTAATTTTATCAAATAAATTATGTTATAGAAAGAGTTCATATAAATCGATTAGCGATTACTGTAAATATTAAATGCATTAATCAAAACTAATATCCATACATATCAAATACCTTTTAAAATAGTCAATTATCATCAAATGTAAATTTTGAGACAGAATTTAACTGCATTTGTGTTTTTCACTTGTCAATTTTTGTTATGCCTACATAACCTAGCCCTTTATAACTGGACATTTAATTTCAGTTAAAAAAGCTGGTAATGCCTTCCTTTTTAAAAACATAAAACTCAAGTATTATGACTCCATATCCATTTATTGATACATAATAAACTCATAAGGGGAAACTATTAAATATGAACTAAAACCAGTGGTTTACTCTATGTTTTGTAGAGGACAATACAGGTGCTTGTTAACTTGAAGATTGGTTGTATGTCCCTTACCGACATGTTGATATTCCAATATTCATTAAGTACTTACTACATGTCAAGAACTATTCTACCTGTTGCATTATTTTATATGTTTCAAAGTTTCAAAAATATAATCTTCAAAAATTATGCTTTGTGGAACTTCAATGTGCTCTTTTAGATTTTTTGGTCTTTTATAGTTTAAATATTGTCTTTCTCCCAAATATGGCTACTCTATTTTATAAAGAATACACCTCTGTTTCCTTGAAATTACATAAATATTTTATTTTTTGAAGTTAATGAATAAAGTCACCTCCTCTTCCTCCCTCAACCTTTGGTTTTTGGACAACAAAGATTAAGGTAATACTAACCCATGAAAGGTCTTTGAAAAAAACAGAGAGAAAAACCTTC